AGAAGATGCAAAACTACTGACTGACACACTGATATCAAATAGTTATCCACTAAAATTTATAAATAGGTGAAAAAATCATTCAACTGTTTTTATCTCTCTACTATTTAGAGGTAAATCTAAGGCAGAAACTAAAGGCAGTCATCGAAAAAATCCATTACACTGCTAAACAGATTGTGATTGAAAGGACTAAGCTCATGATTACAAATAGACCTAGAAAATCCACAAACGTTTACTTCACAACCAAGAGCATTTACCAATTTACATGTTTGTGTGGACACATATAAATAGAAAGAAGTAATCGAACAATGAAATCAAGGGTTATGGAACATATTCCTTGATAGCTTCAAAATTAGTTAATCTCATGTGTTCCGATCGACATGGAAAATAGTAAACCATGTTCATCGATAGCCCATAAATTGACATTAATACAACATTTAAAACATTGTATAGAAATTGTCAAGGACAAAATCTCAGGTTAATAAAAGCTTTAACAATTCATTAATTTAAGCACCCCTTATATATGTATACAAAACCAATTTTTCTAAACCTTGAACTTGCCCTAGTAATCCTTAAATCATTTTATGGCCTATTACAATACGAAAATTTCCTATTTTTTTTATTTCTATACGATGTTCGTTTTTTATTCGCTCCCCTCTCTCTCTCTCCTTTATTTACAATTATTATTTTCAAGAGTTGAGATCATGATTCAATTGAAGCTAGACCATCATGGGAAACCTGGGAGCACTGGAAGGCCGTTTCGTCCCATTGTGGGAATCCCCAGCAGTGCGCATTCACGACCTCGCCTCGAGGGATTCGAGCCCAAGACCCATTAGTCTCCCGCCATGCGCCTAACCAACTAGACCACTGAGCCGGCATCCAACAGTGTTAATATCTAACTTCAACTAATCCACGAAATTGAGTGACACATCCACCATTGTTATCAGTGAGTTACTATCTTACAACTGACCCGGTTGAACTCCACTGCTCACTGCTTCCATGGTGGTCAGCTTCAATTGACTCATGATCTCAACTGTTGAAATTACTACAATCTCCACAAGACCCCTTCTGATATTAATTATTATTCTACTTATTTGAACTTTCATTTAATACTTCGACAAGTCTATACGTAATCAGATTGCTTAATGCATAATGCAAATACATTACACTAATTTTTTTATAGATCAACTCTATCTTTTCATTATTCAATTGAAATTGATAAAAGGGATTAATTACTTGAAAGATAGTTTTAATTTATTATATTATAGAATTCAAACAGAAAAGTATAATGCTATTTATCATTCATCATTATGATTGTTTTTTTTTAAAATGGAAAATACTATTTACAAATAATGATTTATGAAACCAAATACTCTAAATAACTATCACCGGAAACTATAAGCCAAAACAATTAATAATTAAATCATTATATACTCAAAAGATACAAGCCAGTTAAAGGCAATAAAAATGTACTGTTATTATGAATAATTCGGAGGTATTGAACAAATATAAGTTAGAAGGGTTTCTATGAATATTATAGTATTTTTAATAGTTGAGATCATAAGTCAATTAAAGCTAGATTACCATGGAAAAATCGAGAGCATAGGACGGCCGTTTCGTTCTAGTGTGGGACTCCTCTGTTGTGCACATCAACGATCCCGCCCCCCTCGCGAGATTCGAACCCAGGACCTGTGATTTTCGCGCGCAACCACTAAACCACTGAGCCGACCGGCATCCAACGGTGTTAATGTCTAACTTCAATCAATCCACTAAATTGAGCGACACATTCCCCATTTTTTCAGTGAGGTACTATTTAACAACAGTTAACCATACTAAACAACTGCTTAGTTCTGTTGATAGGTTCCATTCCAAATTCTAAGTCAGAAAACTTGTATTTACATATACCACTTATATCATGAATGAATAATACTATGGTGTAATCGATTATCCCTTGATCTACTAATCCTGGTAGACACGAACTTGTTTATTCGGTGTGGTGTTGATTTCATAGTTAATAAAGGTTTGAATGACCCCGTTTTAACATTGTCGACTGAATTTTGATCGCTTTTTGTTAGTACACGTGTATCCTTAAACTTAAGGAGTTTGTTTTCTTACTGGTCAGTTTTCTTTTCAGTGCGTTGATTTCTTGTCTTATACTCAAGGTGATTTTGTCCGTAAATTAGTACGCATGTGTTGATAGCCCCAATCGTTTTTGTTTTGAATGTGAACAACCAATAAGCAAAATGACATATATTGGACTTTTTTGAAAGCTCTTAATATTTTAGTGCGAAAAGTGATACTTTTTTCGATCACGATTGCTGGTTAACACACAGGGTATAAATTTATACGATAGATCTATACTACTAAAAAGTAGTTAAAATATATTTACACATGTTTTAATTCATAGCAAATTACGAAGGATTATCAGTGTCAGTAAACCTTATTTCTGTATGATATTTGATAGGGAGGTTAGGTATCCCCGAACTTTAATTAACTGTAGACACCATTTTCCAACTTTAAAATAGCTATTTCGATCAATGAAATCGTAATGTGCGATTACGAAATGGTTTAAATTAAGAACTAATATTAGTTAGTCCACCACTGAAAATACTCGTTTCATCCTAGTATAGGACTTCTAAGAAGCATGCAACTACGATCGCGCGTCCAGGGACAGAAATGAGGACCTTCAGTTTGGCGCGCAACTACCTTACCTCCAGACTACTGAGCCGGCGTCCAACAGTGTTAGTATAAAACTTCAATGCATTCCTGATATCACGATGGCATCTTTAGTTGTCTTCGCTAGGTAACTGCCCCATACAGGAAGCCGGTGAACGCCACTAGTCACGTCGATCTGCAATAACTAAGGCAAGTGCCCTTATCAATTAGGCACTTCTGAGTAGAGATTGTTGAATTTTGCTTAGATCTCGAACCAATCTAAGAAAGACAGGGAATTAAAATGGAGAATCATTGGTTAGCTCTGTCATCACAGCGTGAAACTCTTCAGGTTACACCGCGGCTATGGACTTTTTGACAGCTCCATAATAGGGTAAAAACGCTGTCTTGTGCATTTTTTTGTCAACATTTGTCTTTCATTGGTTAGTAAAACCTATAACAATCAAAAACCTTCATAAAACAGCGTGTACTAAAAAATTATCTTTACTAGTAGTACTGTAGTGAACAAGAACACCAGTGGGGACAATGGAATGTATTTAACACAAAATTACAGGACCTGTTAATAAAATCTAACAATCATTAGGTAAATGCTTAATTTGCAAAATTTCCACCAATTGTCTCAAAATGACTCAGACTTCATTGTTCTTGCATTTTCATACAAATTATATTCTGTTCCCATTCTTTACTGTTCGATCCTCTCTCTCTGCTGCCAGACCTTCTGTTCACGACTAACATCATATACTATTTATGTCAATATATGTAGCACACACCACAGGAAGGCCAAAGAACACATTACGTTGAGAAATAGAAGCAGATATGAAAAGGATGAATAGGAACTGGAAGGAGCTGGAACGGATCGCCCAGGACAGGGTTGGATGGAGAATGCTGGTGAGCGGCCTATGTTCCTTCACGAGGAGTGACAGGCGTAAGTAAGTACACCACAGTACTACTACTAAACAAAAAGATTTAGTTAGTGTGGACTTATTAATATATGAGCCGTTATTTATTTATGTTTGCCTCAAAACGTTTTGAAGAACTAAGGTAGTAATATCTGACTTGTGAACAACAATAAAATTCTCAATGAAAAGAATTCATGTATTTTTAAGAGTGCCGGGTGGTACCAACATCAGTTTCTTTCTACTTCCAAGTTAAGGTTCAGAGATTTGCCCAAAAAAGGGATATTGCGGAATAATAACTGAAGTGCAATAGTTGTCACGTGATACATGCTTCACTACAAAATTAAAATGTTTCAAAGATTAATTAAAGCTGAATATTACCATACTCAAGTTAATTTATCTTCCATATAGCTCACAAACAATATTACATTGCTTTGGTTATAAAAATACATTGTCTTCCGGGTACTAACTTATAATCAATATTGTATTATAATACCATGGGTTTCTTTATCACATTCAAACTGACAGAGATTTTAAGTCGAAATTGATGATATAATACCATAAACGCAATGATTATACCGTTACAAATTTGATTATGGAGTTCTGTTGAGTAAATATCCTAGTCAGAAGTTACAGATCAATGTCCGTTTACCCTATTCCATCAGCAACAGTCTAATATAGGAGAGAACAAACCAGCTTCCAGGTCAAGAGGAAGTTATGAATAGACTCTAGAGGTGGATAGGACATACATTGAGGAAATCACCAAACTGCATAACGAGACGAGTGCTAACTTGGAATCGTGAAGGGATACAGAAAACAGGAATATTAAAGAACACTAATTCGGGAATTGAAAGCAAACATGAATAGGAAGAATAGCAACTGGAAAGAAGTGGAAAGGATTGACTAGAACAGAGTTGGATGAAGAATGCTCGTGATCGGCCTATGCTACTGAACGAGGGGTAACAAGCATAAGTAAATATAACCCTATATAATATCAAAGCATCTTCTGATTGAGCTTATTAACCAATAGGGAATAATCAGATCTGATTTACAATATATTGGACATTATAAATATTCATAATTATTTAACAAAACGTATCATTTGAATTTATACGCAATATTATTTTCAGGAATGGGGTTTTGTAGAATTTATAGTAATTTAATAGTTGAGATCATCAGTCAATTATAGCTAGACCACCATAGAAAACCTGTAATCACTAGACAACCGTTTTATTCTAGTATGAGACTTCTCAGCAGTGCACATCCACGATCCCTCCTCGAGAGATTCGAACCCAGGACTAATCAGTCTCGCGTGCGAATACTTTACCTCCAAACCACTGATGTGGTATCCAACGGTGTTCATGCCTAACTTCAACCGATCCATAAAATATCATTTTAATAAAACAAATTTTAATTTTTTTTCTTAAATAATATCTTTCTGTAATGTTACTATAGAAACCAAAATCAAAAAAATGTAGAACGATGGTTATGGTACAAAGTGGGTTTTTTTTTAAAAAAAACACACACACAATTTATTCAGTATTTGAATATCAAAAAGAACAAACAATTCGAAATATTATACGGTACAATGATAATATATAGGCACTTAATCGATTATCATTCTAAACATTATCCCATAATTGAATCCCATAAAAATCAATATTTTATTTGTTTTTATTACACTATGGGATTCATTCAAATTCTTTTTTATTTTTGTTTTTCTCTTCGTTTTTCTTTTTTTACTCTTTTTGTATATAAATTTGCGTTTAAATTATTCATTAAGAATATGCCAATTGAAAACGTAATAAACATTGTGTTAACCAATTGGTATAGTATAAATGAGCAATTGGTAAGATGATATGCTAAAAGAGAAGAAACATAGAAATAATGATGAAAGAAAAAGAAGAGAAGATACAACTATTGATTAGTAAAGCATATTACTTATAATGAGTAATATACATTGCCCCCAAATGCCCTAGTATGGCCAAGAGTGTAGTGGGCTCGCCCTCCCTTTCGAAATACTCTCACGCGTCCACGCGTATACAGCCTCTACCAGAGAAGTCCTACTCATTGCCTTCTCGTGGCGGGGGTGTTGTTTACGAAAATGAGAGGACAAAAAGAGAATGTCCGGCGTTTTAACAGGATCCCAAACCAATGGTGCACATGGGCTCCAGTATCCTGCGGGAAAAAATGGCGTATGAACCAATCGTTGGTCACCGGCTACCATGGGAATGCATCTCCTCACGATGTTTCACTGCCTTGTGGGTTAGACCCTTAGGTCGAAGGCTCGGGGAGTGGCCTTCTAAGAAAACCATCTGCTTCAGTTTTGGCACCCGGGCAGTATCACAGCCCACACACACACACACAAATATGGTATGGCGCATATATATTTGGTGCCCTCTTGTACCAATATTTCTATGTTGAAATAAATAAATAAAAGTAAAGCATATTATAAGGATGAGGTAATCGGAATTCAGATATCATGTATTATAAGCAGTGAAATATATTTTTATAGTATTCAGAACTATTATAGAATATAAATAATAGGGTTCAATGTATCAAATACTTCATTCTGTCATATTCGATTGTATATACCAGGTAAATCGATATTAACCTTATATTCTTGCCCTAAACTTTATATCCGGAAACAAATCTTAATTCTATTTCATTATAGACTAATTAAATTCTAATTGAATCTTTATGAGAGTTCGGAAGAAAGTTGAAGATCTATATCCATGTAAATATAGTTGTATTGTAATTGTTTTCTTTTTTTCGATATAAAAGTAGAGTAACCTGTTTACACATTACAATACTGTTGTTTTCCTCCCTATTAATGATTCATTTAAAAAAGCTGTTCTTTAATCAACTAATAATTGGTTTAAAAAAATACATCAAGATTAAAAAAACTAAAAGGATCTTAGATTTTTCCAGAAGGGATACCGTAACTCTTGTTTTCTTTGTACGAACGACAGGGATAATTCTATGATGTATTTGATTGACATGTATTAATTCTAGATACTCAGATCAGATAATTAATCTCCCAAACGCTAAATAAACTCAGATCAAGATATAAGTTATCAGTGTGACTAACACACATATATTACAATTCTTTGACCCTAAATGCCCCAGTATGGTTGAAGATGCGGAGAGTACGCACTCCCTCTCCAAAGGCTCTCACATGGCCACGCGTATACTGCCACTGTCCTACTCATTGCCTTCTCGTGGCTGGGATGTTGTTTACGAAATTGAGTGGACTAAAAGCGAATTTTCAGAGCTTTAACCGGGTTGGTGGATATGGAGGATCCACCTAGAGGAGTTGGAAAACCAGGATTCCAAACCACTGGTGCACATGAGTATCAGGATTCTGAGGGAACAAATAGAGTATGAACTTATTGTTGGTCACCGGCTACCATGGGACTGCATCTCCTAACGATGATTCACTATCTTATGGACTGAACTTTTAGGTCAAAGGCTCAGATTGTGGCGTCCTAAGAAAACTACCTGCTTCGGTTTGAGCATCCGGGCAGTATCATAACCCTCACAAAAACCAAATGATGATTACTAACGGAAAGATTACTTTTGCTTAAACTCACTTCCAGGCAAACCCCATTTACAATCATTTGATAAAATTCGTTTTTCCTTATTTTATACTACGTCACTTATGGTGCCTCTGTGGCGCGATGGGTCGTATGGCGCATATGTATTCAACGCCTACTTGTACCAATGTTTATGTGTTCAAATAATAATACAACTCTTAACAAGAAGTTACAAAATGTACATAATTATCTGTCTGCATTCATTAACCAATCGCAGATCACTATGATCGGATGTAAACATCAGGAACAATCGTACGGCTATTCCGTTACTGTGTGAAAAATAAAAAGAAGTAAGATCTTAAGATTCACTTCAGTCCAGTCATCAAGCTTTAACAGCCAGCTCAAACTAAGTAACCAGACTTTTAATAGAATTACGTCGGGTTTCTATCCCTTTTATAGTTCATAAACCAAGTAATGTAACCGTTTTCTAAAAACAAATGTATGTTAAGCAAAGATGGATAGTGGCTAGCAGTGGAATCCAGGACGCGCGTTTCGTCCTATTTGGGACTAGTCAGCTGGATGTACCTGCATCTCAGAGTTGATGTTCACTCTGTGACCGAACCCAGTACCGTTCACTTCAAACGCCATCGCGTTATCCATCTCTGCTTATAATGCTCGTAAATTAAAGCAATATCAAGGCAATATGCACAGTATGCACATATGCCAATAAGAGACTGATCAATTTCAGTCCTAAAAACATCAATGGGAAGATTGAAGTAAAACAATATCAAGTGAAATGTATGTTAAATTAAGGAATTTATCTTAATTTACTCATTGGGGTACAGTTATTTAACTTTCTGTAAATTTTCTGCTTCATCCAAATAAGTTCACTTTTAAGCAGTGAGATTCGATGACCGAAATTGTACTCAAGCAAACATTTGCTTCATTTTGAGTGAATTTGCTCATTTTTTTAAACAACTCATGTTTTATCCTTTGGTAGTTGACTATTTATATATGTATCAGTAGTTAGATTTTACATGTAGTAATACAATCTCAGCCAGTGAATATTCGTGTAGTTCACAAAACCTAACTAAATTAAGACTGACAGACAACTAAATTCAGTATTCTTTAGATTTATTTGATTTTCCGGTTAATAATTACCGCATTTAGTACATAGAATTACAACAATGTGAGTTGGGATCTGCAGCAGCGTATGAATTGTTTTTTGAGATATAGAATCGATCATTTGATTATAAACGTTACAACAAACATGTAGCAGAAGTTTTCTACTTCGAGAGTTACTCATGTATCAGCCCGAAAGAGAATGAATCATAAAGGATGCAAAGATCAAATTAACAATACGTTCTTCAGTCTTTCTAATACAGTAAATTAGATTAAACTGGTGAGAATGATTCAAAATATGTGACAGGAATAAGACCACATTTAAATAAATTACGAACACTCGTAATGTACACAAAATCACTGTGCATATCTAGTAAAATGATCATATTATTAAATGACTATAATGAGGGCGAATATTATCGAACTTATTCCTTAATGTGTTGAATACTGTTCATATTAGTAACCAGGCTCGCATATGATTGAATGCAACACTCTGAACTACAGTTAACGTTTGAAACCTAGAAATATTGACCACATATCTAGAGTGAAATATGTACAACCTTTAGTTAGAACTCCAGATCTATATGTTGAAAAATCGTCGAACAATTATTATTAAATGAAATATTACTGTGAGGACAATTTTCTATAGTTGATGTAAAATGGCTAAAGAACTAACACTATAGAATTGGGATGCAGCACATACCCAAGACATTTTATTTCTTGAAGTTTGACTACTTAAATAAATACTAGTAGTTACATTATTCACGTAAAAGTTTGAAGCCAAGATCGTATGACTTACTTTATAAAACATGTTATTTTTATTTGAGCTGATGGTTAATTTCATCCTGGATTTTTCTTGGTCAATAGAGGTGAAAGAAAAATCAAATCTTGTCTCTAACCAGTCGTCTAGGATAAAGGTGAAGCTGGTATTTGGCTCAATAGATAATATTTGTGCAACATAGGACATAGTACCTGTAACGACGAATTTAGAAAGTAAGTTTTTCATTTGTAAATTTCGATAAATAAACATACTCTGTTATACACTAACTTGTTTGCATAGTAGGAAGTGAATTTTTATTGGGCAAAACTTATCACAATGATGCATAATTTATGTTTAGTAACGTGACCGATAAATAGAAATACATTGTACAAAGTATATAACCTACTGACTGGTCAATGATGAAGCATCTCCCTTCACTGACAGACATAATAAAAACACCACAAATGTATTACTCTTTCTGAATAGACAAACGTGCTGTGACGAATTTTCTACTATCTAATCTTAACTATAGAAACATTCTTAGCTATTCACATCGCGCAATAATTTAATATCAATCTTTAAGTATGATTAAATTTTCTCGTTACATCTCAAGGAAATGATGATGGTCCTTGCTTATAAACTGATAAACGACGTAGACAAAATTCATGTTCACCGAGTGACTGGACGGTACAGAGATATATGTTTTGATTGAACGGTATTTGATTTATTGAGGTGGGTGTTTGAATACGTCATTCATTCTGTTTAGTTAAGTGAAACAATTACCACTGTATTCATTTGGTAACCTTAGACAACTGCAACGGATACCTACCTAAAATTAGTAACACCTCGTATAATATTTCTTCCAAGATATTGACTACTTAATAAAAATCGAAATACGTGGAATTTTTTGGTTAAATTCAATTGGAACACTTGATATCTTAACTTAGTCTCAACTTACAGAGATGGGTCGGAACTTTTGGACCACTGTGTAGTTCAACCAGTACATTCTGAAATAAATCTTTATTTCTGTAATACCAGGCAGCAAGCCTTTTTAGTCCTGTTAAGCTGAACAAGGAGTGAAAATAGTCCTTTCGCAGCCATAACAAACACCTATGCTAGTAGGGGTAATTAGCAACTTTTTCAAGAACTAACACATTCACAAGGTAATTTGTTTCTATGATGTATACAAATGGGTATTGCATGGAGATAAGCAGTTTACAGAAACGGAAGAGAAATTTTAAAGATAATGTAATTCCAACTAAACATTCTTCAAAAATCAAGATTACAAAAGTCAGAATGTATTCAATTCGTGTACTAAATGGTGACACTGACGGCAATATCTTCAAAACCATTAAAAGTAGTCAGTAGACAGATAGAATTGAGTTTTTTGTGCTTTTTGAAGTCATTAAAAGGTTGAAATTAAAATTCGTATATTCAAAATAACGATATTGTTAATATTACATTGCTTTATTGACCACACATTTAAATACTTTCCCATGTGGCATGTAAATTCAGGCATTTTCTGAAAAAACTCCGTTTTTGTTCTGTTTCCTTTCTCAACTTTGTTTATTTAACTATTTGTTCATTTTGGTTTTCACTGCTGGAAGATGAAATCTTGTCATCTATAGGATAATCCCTCCATTATTAAAATTTCTTTTGCTGCATTCAATTCCATCCCCTTCCTTAGCATGTTCATTGACTTAATAAACGATTTTATGAATGATGTTTACAAACTCATGTACATCTAAAGTTTCTTAGTAATTTACATAGATGTCACTTCGTATGACAACACGTTCTCGTGGATATGACATTAATTTTTAGCCTTTGCATTTGATGCTACTGTTTTGAGTTATAAGTAGTTGAGGATAAAGTACAAAATAAGTGAATATATATCATGGGGCTTTGGCTGTTGTTCTCGAGTGATAGAAAATTATTTAAGGTAGAAATTGTATCAAACCATGCATACAATGAAAGTAATGATTTAATGATTGTTTTATGAAACTCATAAATATATCTTACCTAAAAATCCATAATCAACCACCATAATAAACTCTTCACCAATAGCAAGATGGAATGATTTCGTCAAATTTTCTATGGATAAAACGGAAGGTATCCACTGTAAGACAGAATAAGGAAAAACAAATAGATAAAATGGAACAATTCCACTCATTCAAAATCACATTATTCAAATTGTCTATTGACGGTTTATTAATGAACGGGATTAGAATGATGAAAATGATTCTGAGTATAAATATTTCGAGTAGTTGTTTTGAAAGTTTTTCTATTTAGTAAGTAATATCTTTCATTAAAAGCTGATTTCATGTGGAGAACCAGTAACAACCAAAAGAAAAGAGAAATATATGCTTTGTTTCGGTTTAATACTCTGTGAAATTTTGAAGACACAACCCTACATAGGATCAAATGCAAGACTTACACATATCACAGCAAGTATGATCATTCAGTCATAGTCTACACCGGATCTGATATAAATAGTCATTGGATCAAGGAGACCCCCACTTTGGACCAGCATATCACAAAAAAGAATTGATAGGAGGCAAAATATTGTCATCGACTACAGAAGAAATGTAGATATCGGAAGTATAGTTCACAAGAAATGATTGAAGAATGAAAAGTATGAAATGATTTCATACAATATAAATTTGATCATAGCAGGCACGATAAACGTACCAGAATGACGTGAATTCATTCCTATTTCGTAGTTTCTCAATGACTATTTACAACCTAAACATAGTAGTATTTATTCTTTAAATTCAGTGTATAGCGTTATATAAGGAAGGTTTTTATCAGTGAGAATGAATGAAAAGACCAATAAGTATTGAAAAATTACAAGTGTCTTTTTTTACAAATATTTATCGGTTGAATATATACATATACTGGCATAAAAACTAAGAGCATAGAAACAGAATTATTTAGACATGAAATAGCAATGTCATAGTTATGTAATTATTAAAGCAAAATAGAATTGATGAATTGAGAGCAGATCAAATGTATGAATGAAAAATTTTGTTTTAAGTCTTTTTGTGGCGACTAATTCAGTGAGATATAGTAAATTCGACATTATTTGTTTACCAACTATGTTGACAGACTTTGAAACATCGATTCCATGACCACTACCAAGCAACTGACATTCAATTGAACTGCTAAGAACGTACTTTTCTTTACACCCAATCTTCTGTAGAATGTAGTCAAAGATGCGAACACTAACCCTCCTCTCTGTCCTATATATATGTATATAAACTGGTTGATATGAATAGAAGAAACGTCAAGTAGAAATTCGTTCACACTTGACTTTTACAGTGAGCGGTTTCTTTGGTCCAAAAGTATCAGCTTGTCAGCTGGATACATCTTGATTATTATGGATTCCAAGCTAAAATCAATCTTATCAGCTATTCCATCATCCTTGAAGCTGAGTCCTTGGAGGGCGAATTTCTTCTCAATCATAACATGAAGGAAAATTATTTTAAAAATTAAAAGATAGAATTACTATGCTGATAATTATCATGTGCTCGCTAGTAAAAACTTCGACAGGTAATTCTCGGAGTTCTGGTGAGAAGCTGTGACCAGTGGAATTCAACCGTATCGACAGTAAGACAGTTAACCACAGAACAAAATGGAAGATGGTCACACAATATCGTGGATTGGTTGAAATTGGAGATTAACACCGTATGATTTCTGCTCAATGGTCTGGAGGTTAAGTGTTTGCTTACGAGACCGAAGGTCATGGGTTTGAATGCTGCATGTGGGATCTTGGATCTGCACCGTCGAGGAGTCCCATACTAGGACGAAATGATCGTCCAGTGTTTTTAGGTTCTCAATGGTGGTCTAATGTTGATCGGTTCATGATCTCAATTAATATTATCGTCAGTTAAGAATGACTTTTTTCATCAAAAGAGAATCTAAAAAAACAAATTATTATTTGAACAATAACGAACGAACTAATTCGCTGATTTGAGTGGTTCTGTAGAGATTCGTCACGAGACCAAATAGGCTTGGACTCGATCCAACACCAGTTCATGAAGTTACTGAGTATTAGTTGTAATCATCCTTAATTATTTATTATTAGTTTACTTAAGCAAATAAACATTATTACAAAAGGGCACCGAGTACATTTACACCACACAGGTCTCTTCATTTGTGTGTGGGCTGTGATAATACCCGAGTGTCCAGATACAAGTAGGTGGTCTTCTTAGGTGACCGCACCCGGAGACTTACACCTAAAGGTCTGATCCAAAAGGTGGTGGAGCAACGTCGGAAGATTCAGTCCCATGGTAGCCGGTTACCAACGATTGGTTCATATGCCATTTGTTCCTTCAGAATCCTGTAGCCCATGTGTACCAATGATTTGAAATCAGGGTTTTCCAACTCCCCTAATTGGATCCTCCATATCCATCAACCCGGTTAAAGTGCTGGAAATTCGCTTTCGGTCCTCTCAATTTCGTAAACACCCCCGCCGCGAGAAAGTAGTGAGTAAAACTTCCGTGACAGTGGCTGTATACGCGTGGTCATGTGAGAGGGGGCCGACTGTTCCCGCTCTCGGCTGTACCAGGGCATTTAGGGTCTTGAATCACGCTAGTAGATGCAAACTACCTGATTGGGCATCGAAGTGATCAGTGGTTCAAGGAGTTGGGCGAAATGGTTTAAAATAAGTCGAAATAACATATATATGTTTATCATTCGCCTTACTCTAGATCTTGAATCCCAGCACTTCTTCAAATTTACCGTTCCTCTTTACCTTTTCAAATCATATTAACAATGCTAAATCATTCTCATTATCACTCGTAGTACAATATTTCTACTCCTTTATTTTATTTATCTTGTTAAATTCAAATAGTTAGGACATTATGGTAATATCAAATTAAGACAACTCATGTTTGCGTCATGATCTTCATTGATCATAACTGACCAACTGACATGATTAGTCGGTACATTTGGCATGATAGGAAATAGAATCAAACAGTTTTTCAAGTACTTTGTAAATTTTATTGATTCTTCAATGAACGCCAGTTTTCTAGCAAAGGTGATCATTGAAATTAGGATAAAATCAATGTAGTCAAATTGAATGATATTTTGTTTAAATAAATATTTAACTTACACGAGGATACGTATACAGATTTGTGACATGACGGTAACATTCATGAATAGGTATTGAAACAACAACTTCTTTTTGACCAATTTTCCCATTATGAATAACAACTAATCGACTTATTGATGCAAGTAAAAGTAAAAGTGCTGCTAAAATGAATTTCATTTTTGTATATGTATACTTCTCACACTAAGAAAAAAGAACAGAATACGGTTTCCAAGTTATTTTCAGATAACTTATATATGTAAATAGAAATGAAAAGAGAAGAGAGAAAGAGAGAGAGAGAGAATATAATGAACAGCTTATATTTTATTGGTCAGCTGATTTACAACCAATCAAAATGACATTCATTTATCGATCAGTCTTATTCACTACTATGACTACTATTGAAGTATTATTCCCATAGTGAAGAAAGGCGAAAACATATCGTCAACTTAATGTTTTCTCATAACAATATATTTGTTAAGTATATATGATAACCTTTTGTATACATTTATGAATGACGAAAAATACTGAGACAATATGTTAGCTGAAGTCCATATATATTGTATAACATGGGAGTTTGTTTTAGGTCTCTCCAATGTAGAAAGATTTCCACGAAGGAAATGTTTGGGACGCGTTGCTATTCCTTTAAATGTAAGTTGTTGCTTCAGGACTGGCCTGCGTCAACAACTGAACTAAGGATAGAGAGTGAAGTAGTCGGACACATCGACAACTTCACCACCTCGGAAGTCTCATCAACCCTATTGGGTTGGTGTTTGACGAAATCTCTGCACGGATTCAAAAAGCTCGTTTGGCTTTTGCCAACTTATCTCACCTATGGCGAAGGCGAGATACTCGTCTATCAATTAAGGGACGAGTATACAGTGCGGCAGTTTGTTCTGTTCTACTTTTTGGCTGCAAAACGTGGCCTTTAAAACTAAAAGATACTCGATCACAGATGCCTTAGAAATAGTGCTCGCATCTGGTGGGATCACCGGGTAAGTAATAGTGAGGTTAGACGCAGGGTATTAGGGAATGATGGTAAATCAGTTGATAAGGTTGTAAAACTTCATCGACTGTGTTGCGTATGCCTGAACACCAATTACCACGACGCGCAATGCTGACTAGTGTTGAAAACGAGTGGAAGAATGTTAGGGGCGGCCAAACAAAAACGTGGCATCAGTCCATAAAGTCACTAACCTCTGATATGAGCCATGTTGGTAGATGCAGACTACTTGGTTGAGGTCTGCGTGACTATCGTAACCAATGGTTGGCGACTTTATGTGACATGGCTCAGAATCGATCACAATGACGTCGGTGTGTACCCTCTTTGTTTTCCCTTAAACCGCGAGATTAAAATCGCTTCATATCTTTCTTTCTACGAACTAGTTCTCTCTTCCTGCATTATATCCTTATACACAATCTTTCTTTGATAATATAACTACTACTGAAGTAACTACGCCTATTAATCCGGTGTTAATCTTGTTGTGGTAATGACGTGTGGCAACTTGGACCGATGAGCATGAGTGTCTGGTCCTACGTTGCAACTGACTGACTGACAGTGTAAAGAAGACTAATGAAACATTAAATTCTTGATAATTCAAACACTTTTTTCCAACTTCATCAGTTAAACTTTTTGTAACTTTATACAACTCAAAGCGGAGATAAAAATTTGTCCAAATTACGTGACATATTAGTGAAATACATTTTGGAAAATCTGATCACATATTTATATATTAAAATATTTGTGTAATCTGGTGAGACTATGATTTAAGGATGGACCAATGAAGTTAAGGATAGTGAGTTTTGGGTTTTTTCATGAAATTCATTCATCTATTTAATCAAAGAGTATTTTGAGATTATAGCTGATGTTAGTTCGTGATGAAAATTCTTAATTAATTGACTAACCCTAAATCACAATCCTAATTCTTCATACTAATTCATAACCATCTTAGATCCTAATGAGTTATCCCAAGGTCACGTGGGCGTCGCTCTGAGATCATCCACAAACTATAATCTCTCTGTATCTCATCCTATTATGAGGCTTTACAGCAATATACATCCATGACCCCAACGTGGATCGAACCCAGGACCTTCAGGTTTCTAGGCTGGCGCCTAACCTTTATATGTGAAAAATGAAGATCAACTAGATAAGTTGGAAGATAAGAATGAATCACACTACTATGGATAATAAATCAACATTACCAAGGCGGGCTTAGGAGGTAAAAAAACTGGCCTTGCATGCAAAGAAATGGTGTGATTTTTCGTAAGTCTAAGGCCTCAATAAACTTTAGTATTCGCCCCTGGAAACGTTTACACAACACCACAAAGGCTGATTTCATATATACTCCTGTGGCCGACTTTGACTAAATACTTAGAAATGGAGTAAAGTGTTTGTTTATCATATCTTCTTATTAGACTACTGGAACTCATTTGTTTTTGTGAACATTCAGATATGTGTTTAACCACCCTCATACTTAGACCACGATTGCCTCCTTATATATATATATATATATATATATATATATATATATATATATATATTGCTGAATAGTGTTTAGATTACAATTATGTTGAAGTGAAAACCTAAATTTGTAATCAGTATGACTTATTACGCAGTTCGGCCCATAATTACTCAAACGTCAAGATTCATATCATTAAATACCCAACATCCAAACGAGTGTGTAATTCCCCATTATGATTATCAGTTTGTATATATATGTTCCCTTTACATATACTCTTTCCAAATGTTTCTTTAACAGATTATTTGCATTTCCAGATTTGTCACATAGGACTATAGTATCATCCACATACCGTTTTGATATGTTTATGAACAAAAATTGTATTCAAAATATTGAGTAAAATAAATAAAACAACACAGAATATGAACAAACAGAAACTCTGTACAACATAAAAGTTAGCTATTTTTGCTTCTTAAATATAAATGTAGAAATTACATTGATCTTAAATCAATAATGTCGTTGTAGCCCACAAACTAAGTTCACAAGCATGTACATAACTCTGAACCGGAGGTTTTATATCAGGGTAAGTAATACTAACTGGTTGCAAGAATTGACGTTAGAATGTGTTTGAATTTGCAGGGATTTGATTGATTATTGTGTACTTTAACTGGTAGTCCATCACTTTACTTCTGGTACCATTATAGGCAAAAATTAAATAATTTACTCTTTGCTTATCAACAAATAAGAGGTAAGACAGATAATCCCCGTTTTATTCACTAATTAAAAGTCAGATTCCCTAATAATTGACTTTTTCGAGGCACTAAGTCAAATTCATTACTTGGTTTGGAAATTAGAAAACTGACAACCAATTTGTGTAAAATTTTATTGCACCGCAACACTGAATCGTCCGATCGATTCAAATCGACAGATCGCTTCTTATGTGAAAAAATATTGTTAATTTAGCTACAAAAACATTTACATTGTTACACCTTATTTTGCATCTGATATACTTAAATACTATTCACTCGACTGCAACGAGCTTTCCGTTTACTGCAAAATCTCTCGTTTTATGGTTGAGAATCATTGTTTTTTATAGATGATCACTTGGAATCGCATGTGTGAAGTGCCATAAATTGAAAGGATAAAATTTGTACTTGACTTCCAGTCTTCAGTGCTAACTACTTGAAAATTACCTATGAGACTGAGAAACAACCTGAAAGTCCAATTAATACAAAAACTCGTTCCTGTTAGGAGAGAAAACTAGTTTGTTAAGAGTGAATTTCCCATTTGAATGGTTTGAAAATATCCACATTTATATGAAACTACTTATGCAGTCGGATTATATGTATATTATGGTTGCGCATACCGAGGTACTTGAAGTCGAATTTCAAGCCGAATGCTTCACACAATGTCCCTTTATCCATTAACTATCTGATACCGTACGCGTATACCCTGTAAGATTTATGATTACATGTTATAATTACACTGACAAGCAATTATTGTGTATCTGAATACACAAAAACGCAAAGAGTTCTTAAAATGGAATATTTGAATAGATGCAAGTAAACTGGAACAAATAGAAATAACCCGCTGATGTGGTAACGAAGGACCAAAGCAATTCATAAGCAACAGCGTAAATCTGTATCTATGCCTTCAATAATTTGGTGTAATTAATTCAGAAGTGATTTTTCAAGGTGAATAAGAATAACGCTGATTAAAAGAGATGATTTCTGAATAATCGACATAGTAAGATGCATATATCCCTGTAACTTTTAGTGGCCCGAGATCTGACTCCAGTTAGATCGCATGATTGATTGTTATTGAAATAAGTATGTCGGCTATCCTCGTACGTAATAATTTACTTAATCCGCGTTAGTGAATAACGGAAGTAAATAAGCCAAATACGAGAATGGATTTTGAATATGCATATCGCATTCACCCATTGATTAAAGCAGGCAATCAGGGAGAAGCGAAGATAAATGACGCGCAGTGGAGAAGGCGCATGAACTAATTCAATTTAATCAAGCGCTAATCGATATTTATAGTCAGGCAAAAATAAGTTACAGATATACGATGAGCAAGAAAAGAAATGCACACACATACGCTTATATAAAAACAGTCAGGGTTGACAAGCGAATAATTAACAAGGTCAAGACGTAACCCTAGAAGAATGGATAAACTGGCCTGTCCAGAAGCTAGAATAAGTTATGTGGGGTTAGCATAGTAACCGACACGACAAGCCTATAAATTCACCGGCTGGAAATACTTACAAACTCGAGGAGTCTCGTAGGACTTAAGTATTCTATTACTAACGAGTAACATACCGACCGTTGTTGCTGCCTCGACGTAGTGGTCGGGCTTGTCTATCGTAATGAACCAATCGAGCTATACTGACTGTAACTATCGTTCCTGAAGGTCCTACCATGCCAGACAGGTCGGTTGAAGAACGGCAAAACTAAAGGCAGTAAACCCAAGGTTCGAAGGCGAAGTCGTACTGCTGACTGTACAGAGGTGTGACGATAGTAAGGTGTTTCTGATATGATGGAAAGAAAAGTCGATTTTCGATTGATTTAATAATTATTGGTTTTGTTCAATATTACTTCCGTTTTGATTCAATGTAATGATTACTCAATCTAATATTTGTTTTGTTTTCTCGTATGATATTTTATTCTGTCTAATATGCGATATTCTTGTATTCCATTGACATAAACTATGCTCAACATGTGATTTGTGATAACTGAGTATTTTTATGTA